GTGGTATTGTAGGTGTAACCATGTAAATAATTACTATTAATTATAATATTTAAAATACAATTTTTACTATCGAATTTCCAAGTATTATATTGTTCCATGTTTTGTATCATTGTTTGCCTGTACTTAGATCCATTTAACTATCCCTGCTGATTTGCAATTCCTGTGATGATTGGCCATTTCAGTTTCAGTCTGGGGGGAAATCAAGTGACAAAAGTAGTCCTGGTGGCAATCACGATGATGGTGATGTGGCATGTGTCTAGACTCTAGGCCCGATAATGATGACAATCTCTGGATTTTGGAACTCAGAACCAAGAACCCAGAAACGAATGCCCAGCCCCTGAGTTCCGTCCGTGGTGGTTATTTGGGTCAAGCTGGGGGCATTAGCATAAAACGAACATCCAAAACGGCGCTCCAGGAGCAAATGGCACTTACTCGCCGATTTTTCTGGGCATTGTGAACGGAATTGGTTAATTAACCGCAGGTGGGGCTGCCCTCTCGATGGCATTATCATTCCGTTGGATTTTAATTTGATTTCGGTGCGTTGTTCGTTGTTCTTTTTTTTTTTAATTTTTTTAACTGCTTCATATTTTTCTGTTTGCCTTCGGCCTTGGCCATAATAATTACGCATAAATATGTCAAGTGGCGAAAAGTGCGAATGGAGTGGTGGGGAAAGCAGTGGGTGGTCTTTCCTCTTCGGGGCTGCTGTGCTTGCTTTTGGCTATAAAAAGCCATAAGCACTTATATTTACGATTATAATTGGGCCTTTTTCCGTTTTCCGTCTGTGTGTCAACGGAATGGGAAGGGGTACCCGATTTCTTTGAGTGTTTTCGAAGGAAATCCAACTGTTACAAGTGCCTTGTGCTGTGATTGTTCTGCACACCAAATTTATTACGGTTTGGCCGTAGGGATCCTGAGATATTAACCATTAAAGATTACGACTGCCTTTCGAACTTAATGGCCATTTAACTCGTTGGGATGCTTGCCTAGAATCACCAAAAATACTTTATTTAAATAGCTGAGCCTAATCGAGCTGCAAATCATATTTCATCCCACTGTTCTTTATTAGTTTATGTAGTCTGTAAAATTTACCATTGTTATAAAGCATAGATCCTGAGATAAGATTCCCCATTAAATCAATTAACAAGTTAAATCATTAAAATTTACACATAATATTTACATTTCCCCCAAGCAATGTTTTGATGTTTTCATAATAAATATAATTTATGCCCACGTTTTATGTAGGTATATTCCATTGGATTTTCCAGTAATTTTCACTTAGTTATTATCCACACAGATCCCGAGTTTTGGTGTTGTGCCATCAAATCACTTAACAAGTTCAGTCGTTAAATTTTACAATAGATCAGCTGGGGCAAAGAGTAAAGAGCCCTCATGCCATTCGGTTTTATTGCGACGAGCGGAGCGCACTCAATAAATAATCAAAACCTAATGAGCTGCCAGCGATTTATGCGTGGAACAACAAGTTTGTGGAAATTATGTCTAATTTGGTATCAAATCATAAGCTCATAAAATCAACAAACCAAATTCGCTGACGCTACCGCCCGCGGTTTTTAAACGCGAACGACAGAAGCGCGGCGATACGGAAAATGTGGAAAAGTGTTTTCGTGCCCATAAACAAACAAGTCTCGTTCTTTTTTTGTCGTCTCCGAAAGTGAAACAATATTTAAGGTTGGAGCGAAAATCAGCTCCAAAAAGGGCGCCCAGCGGACGCCGTTGTCCATTTTCGCATTTTCACGACGCTTCCGTTTTGGCAGGACCCCCCGGAAAACTTTCGCCGCTTTTCCAGTGGGTCAGGGTCCTCGTCCTCGGCGGTCATTGCCGCCCCTGGAACTAATTTTCAATAAATAATACCAATTTATATTTATTATGCATCGGGCGGGCGCATTTGTTTTGATTTTATTCGCTGACGGCCCTCGTAATAATGTTCTCTCTTCTGGTAAATAATCATAAATACCGAATGCAAAGATTTATTGTTATTTTTTCGAGTTCGTTGAGTGAGAACGTCTATAACGCGTGATGGGGTTTGGTTTTGGGCCAGCCCATTAAATCTTGATTTGGATAAGTAAATCCTGGGATAATGAAATTGTTTAAAAATGTTGATACACAAAATAAATTATATAAATGTAGTTTATTTATTTTTTTAAACTTTATAAAATTTAGAAACACAAACAATTTTTAGCGTCATGAATACTAGGAACCCAAAAAAATAATATCATAATAATAAATCCTAAATATTAAAGGCTGAAATGGTCCATAACCTCCATGGTTTCAGTATCCCTTTCGGTTTATCCGCCCCTTTACACATCCCAAACCTCAACTCAATGCAACCCATAGATCCTGAAATATGACCCCCTATATCATTATTGAAAAAAGTTACCCCGACACCCTGGGGCTTCAAGGATGGCCCACTATACTGAATCAATCTGTGACCTTGTTCTTGGTCTTTGGGGCTGCCGTTTGGCCGTTCAGTCTGTTTACTGACCGTAGCCCGCTTTTGGGGAGCTCGCAGCGGAAATGAATTATCGCCCGCTAAATGGGCGCGCACATCATTATTATTATACTCATAGCGGAGCCACCAACAGCTGGAGTTGCAAAAACATTTTAGCTGGGATTTTCTGTTCTTGTTTATTTTTCTGTTTTTTTTTTTCTTGCCCCCTTTGTAATGAAGAGAAATCGCGATGGGGATATGAAAAAAATAAAAAGAGGAGCAGCTGTAAAAATGGAAAAATTACTGGTTCTGGTTTCTAGAACGGCTTGTCAATCTGGATTAGGTCCAGCCCTGATTTTTTTTATATTTTTAATGCCACTCCCAAAATGACCAACAAAGTGGGAAAAATAAAGGAAGTTTAATAGTTATTAATCTATAAATATTTAGGGTATTTCTACAAAATATTACATAAGTGCTTAAATAATAATTAATAGAGATTATTGCTTAACCTATAAAGATCAATAAGTTTTTTTAAAGTATATTTTACTTTTTGTAAGTTACTAAAAATCAAATTATTTAGGAAAAAAATATTTAATATCTTTAAGAATATTTATTTATTTGAGTAAAAATATTTTTTGCTATATTTTTTCATAATATACAGATTTTCCGCAGTGTAGATCCTGAGACCCTGTTTCAGGTGGTCAGATTAAGGCACCGTGGGGCCACTCCATTATTTCCATATGTCGTGCGTTAATTGCCGCACATGTATGATGATGGCCAGAGGGTGAAAGGAGAAAAGGGTCCAAGGACTGGGAAATGGGGATTCGGGAGCTGAAAACACTCTAGCTCCGCTGTGTGTGTGATTTATGTTGTGCAAAATGGGGTGACAAAGTGACAAGTACCATAAGTCGGCCTTAGCAAAGAGTTGCGGGCGGGAAGTCACTTGGCGAATCAGTGATTTTATGGCCAAAACCAGAAGTGCGAGTCATTTGTCATAAATTTGGATTATAGCTTACCCTTACCCTACTTTTTATAGTTTGCAGGCCATTTCCTACGCACATTTAGTAAATAAATAATTGATATTAATATTTATCAGCTATATAAACATTTTTCTTATCTTAATAATAGGGTTATTTAAATTCCTTATACTTTATTTTTTAACAAGCATTAAGTTTAGCTCGTCTATATTTATTAATTAATTAAAATAGGAGTAGGTTAGTTAATTAAAATGGGATTTCCATTACTGGACTTGTAGTTCGATTTACAAAAATAATTTAAGGAATTTATTAATTTTTTATTTCGTTTATATTAAAAAATAAATTTTAAAAAATGTTAGTTGGTTAATTAAAATGATTTGTACTTTTAGACTTAAAGTTGAATTTTCTAAAATATTTTTTTAAAATTTTTTTTACCTACTTTCTTAAATTCTAAATAAAATAGAAGTCACCGTTTTCTCATTTTTCGAAGGACCATTTCTCCTCAGCACACTTCCCGCCTAATCATAACTCACGGGGATTCCCCACTTTGCGAGTGGTCAGCAAACAAAAAGAGCAAAAAGGGAAAAGGGAAGATAACCCCATGTCCGATAATAATTATAATTTATGCGCCAGCACAGAAATAAAGCCAGACGCAAACTTTCAACTGTTCCGTCTGTCTGCGGATGTAACGAACCAAATTACAGATCTGTCCGCTTGTTCCTTCTCTATAGGATATATATATAAGTTCTTAAGTGACATGACACCATTGCAAGTTGGACAACTTGTCGCCCTTAAATTGTTCAGGGAAAACGGGAAAACGGTCAAGGGATTGATTTCGGAGGACAGAAGCAGGAATTAATTAACCAAATGCAGAAATGTGCAGCTGGGGAAAGCTTAAATAGAGGCGAGGACAACGAATTCAATTAATCAAAATGCAGACGTGCTAGGAATTCGACGATTTTTAGCAACTCAGTCAAAGTCACAAGTGAAGGAAACACTTTGAGCTTGAGTCACTCAAGGCTGCCCCTATATATCTTTCTTACCCCATTTTTCTTTCCAGTGTTCGAGTGTGTGTGTGCCGAAGAAAAATTGTCTGACACATTTAAATTGAATTTCCAAATTCATTCGCCTTTTTTTTCGCAAACATTTCTCTCTCGCCTGGTTCGCTTTCCATTTGCTGTTAAAAATAAAACCCAAAATCAATTTGTACAAACTATTTTTATATCGAAAAACAACATACTACAAGTTAAACAAATTTCCCCAAAAGAGATGATGTGTGAGAAATTGAATGAAGATTTGATTTTGTTGTATTTACGTTTCTTTCTTTCAATCACTAAAACATCAAACAATCGCATTTCGAATTCCACTGAATGGGCGAATTTTTTGGGGCTCATAAAAAATAATTGTAAAATAATTGTTCATAATTATTGTATAGGTCGTGGGGGTGAAGGTCAAAATGGATGAGAAATTAAATGTTTTTTTTGGTAAAGTATTCCTGGAATAAATCACATAAATAATAATAATACTAATTTTATTTAAAGTATATTTTATATATATTTATATATTTTTTGTTTCAGATTTTTCGGCATTTAGAACGTCCTGCGGAGGTGGAACGTCTCTCGCATCTCAAGGATGTGGTGAAAACCCACAGGGAACGCTTCATGCACACCATACTGAACAACACCGAGGTGCGCAATCTCGACGAGCTGTTGTCCTTTGAGTTGGCCAAATATGAAGCGGTAAATATATATTTTTATTTATTTATTTATCTTAAATGATCCCTTAATTATCCGATTGCAGGCGGTTCAACTGGCGGCTGAGGGAGGGCTGCTGATAGATAAAGATAAAGACTTTCCAGAGCCCTACGAGCGATGGAGCATTCTGCAAGCTGTGTTCTTCTCCTCGACTGTGTTAACCACCATAGGTGAGTGAAAAGAGTAAATAAGAAATTCGATTTTAATTGGGAGAGTGCACAATGAAAATGCTGACCAAAATACTTAATTAATAGATGCCTTAACCACTTGTTATTATTTTACTTTTGTAGTATTTAGTTTAATTTATTTTAATTCTTAATACAATTTTTTAAATTTTAGATCAGTTTATTTTTAAATTATATTATTTAAATGATAATTTTCCATTTTGGATTTTATACTAAATTTATTGAATTTACTCTTTAAATATTTCAGGCTATGGCAATATTGTGCCAGTCACGACTGGTGGTCGAGTATTTTGCATTTGTTTCGCCCTCATCGGCATCCCCTTCACCCTCACTGTGATTGCCGATTGGGGTCGATTGTTTGCCACCGCCGTCTCGGTTTTTGGCAAACATATGCCCAGTAAGTTTATTATTTAGTAAATTATAAATACAGATTAAAAAAAAGAAAAAAGCTAAATAAAAACAATTTTTTATTTTTAATTTTGAAGAGAAAGTAATTTAATAAACATTTAACAATTCAAGGGAACACGGTGCGCATGAGTAATATTCACACATTTAATATGGCATCACTCATACGCACTGTTGTCGCCTAACAGTTATTTTAAATAAATATTAATATGTTCTGCTACTCATTATCTTTACTAATTATTATAAGTTATTTCGAATAAATATTTATATAATTATCTCTACTTTTTCCCCCAGCCAAACCAAAGTTTACCAATTTTATTGGCAAGACCTGGTTCTATGCCATTTTGGCCGTTGGCTTTTTGGGCGTTTACTTGGCCGCCGGAGCTGGTCTTCTGTTGCTCTGGGAGGACGATTGGACCTTCTTCGACGGCTTCTACTTTTGTTTCATCACGATGACAACCATAGGATTTGGTGATTTGGTGCCAAGTGGGTCTAAGAACTTATATTATTTTGCTATTATTATAATTACTATACCCCCTTTGCAGAGAAACCCAACTATATGCTGCTGTGCACGCTGTACATTCTCATTGGCCTGGCCCTCACATCGACCATAATTGAGCTTGTGCGGCGACAATATGCCACCAGTTGGGCCAAGCTACAGGTAAGTTCTACACAGAATAAAAATTTACAAAAGATCAGATTGACATGATTAATATCATTTTGATATGAATAAAGATTATGTTTATCTTATTTTACAATATTGGCTTAAAAAATACTACATTTGTTATTTTAAAACAGTATTTTTTATAACTTTTATGAAATGATAAAATATCAAGTTGATATGTTTGAATCATAATTTGAAATTAATCATATCGGCTTTTTATTGATGTAGAAATTATTATTATTGAGGTAGAAATGACCCTTTTTCATATGGAATTTTTTCTGTGGAGATATTATGGAAAATCTAGACACAAATCTTATCAAAAATCTTTTTTTAGGAGCTTTCTGGACCCATGGCGGAGACTTTGCGTCGACTGGGCGAAACAGCAGGCACTGGACTCGATTATACCGCCCTGCAGAAGGTGCTAACGGTAGGAAAAATAATTAAATAAAAAATAAAATAAAAAAATATTATAAATATTATTTATTTATCCTAGGTCTCCATGCCGAAATGGAATAGCAAGAAGAACGATCACAGTCCCGACATTGCTGCCTTGGAGGCCATCACAAATGCCATTTTGAAGGAGGTGAAGGAGGCCCAGAACAACAAGCCCAAGGTCCTGCAGATCGTCATCTACGAGTCCTCCGTCTAGATTCTAGATTTATAAAAAAAAAACCAAAGAAAAAATCAGACAGCGAGAGAGCTTCCATCGCAAAGAAAAGTGCTGCATAATTTTGGGCAACCAGGCAGAAAAAAAAAAGAAAGAAAATATCAAGAAAAATATCAAACGTAGTTAGTTGCGGCCGCTGAGATCGTCAATCGTCGCCCATGGATTACAGTGGGCACTGGCTACTGTGGCACTGCCAGACTTCCATATATGTTTAGTGTCCGTACTTATAGCTATTATATAGTCAAATGTCTAGGCAATAACATTGCTCATACGTACTGAGGTCCCCACAACACAAACACACACACACACATACTCTCACACATGCAAAGCGCGGCAGGTGATTTAATATCTACATAGATAATATATATATTGTTTTTTTTTTGAGGAATTCTAACCGTATGTCGTAGCCTAAGTTATCGTTAATCTTAATCGTAACTCTTGTCCATACCATGCATAATTGTCATCTTACAAATAAACCAAGAAAAAGACTTTAATGATTTCGGAATTTTTGTTTTGTGGGTCTGAAATAGAATTATTTTATTTTTAAGGTAATACAATCCATTACAATTTCAATTTTTATTATGGCTGATTTTAAAATGTTTTTATTTATTTCACTTTAATTTTCTTAACCATTTCTTCATTTTTTTATATTACCTTAAAAATTTAGTAAATTAATGACCAATAGTAAAACTTATATAACCTAAAATTAAGTAAAAATTTGCAATACATTTCAAATACTTTTTAATCATGAAAAAGAAATATTTTTAATATTAAAAATATTTCTTCCAGTGTAAACCTTGACTTCAGCGCAAACAGGATCTTTCCAACAAGAAAAGTGTGAAGACTATATCCTTTTAAAATCAAAAAGACTCAAAATATTTAATAATTTGTAAGAAAAAACCCAAAGATGATATAGAAAAAAATATACATAATTTCTCTCAGTGTGAATATGCTGCACATTGTTGGCTATAAAAGTCGTTCGCACCGTCGCTGCTGGCTAGTCGCTGGAAGTGCGAGTGCGGGTCCATCGTTTCTGATTTCGGATTTCTGATTTATAAGCACGGCTATCCGAGTATCTCGTGTGTCCGTATTTTTGTTGTCCGTGTGTCCGTAACTCCGCCCGTAAATCCCCTCAAAAAAGTGTGTGGGCTGTGATTTGGATTGCGATTGTGTTGATTTTCGTGATTCTCATTTTCATTTTCATTTCGCACTGGATGCCTCGGCGAGGGGCTGTCGCCGTTTAGTTGTGCGCTGGACGAGCAGCGAGTAACATCCGGTTACCGATCCAACGATCCAACGATCCAGCGATCCCATCATCCCAACCCATGGATAGCTGATCCCGAACCGTGTCTACTTGGGAAGTCCGCGTGCTCCAATCGCAATCGCTTTTTTTGTTTGGTTTTGTTTTGGTTTTGGTGCTTTGGTTTGAACAAGTTTTGAGATACGCGAACGGCGAACGAAGAAAAGGATCCCAATCCCATGGAAGTGCTGAAGAAGGACGCCGCAATGGGCTCGCCCAGCAGTGTCTTCTACTTCCTGCTGCTGCCCACGCTGGTGCTGTGGTACATCTACTGGCGATTGTCGCGGGCCCACCTGTACAGGCTGGCCGGACGTCTGCCGGGACCCAGGGGCCTGCCCATCGTGGGCCACCTGTTCGATGTGATCGGACCCGCTTCATGTAAATGCCAAATGCCATCCTAACTAACTAACTAAATCGAGTGCAAAACAGTGATCATTTGCTTTGGATATCGAAAATAATATCTACTTTTATTTAATAGTAGATATTATTTATTTTTCATATCAAATATAAAAGTACATGTTATTTTTGATATCAAAAATTAATTTTATTTAATTCTAGTATTATTACCCTTCGATATCCAATATATAATAGTAGATATTATTTATTTTTTATATCAAATATTAAAGTGCATATTATTTTTGATATCAAAAATTAATTTTATTTAATTTACTTAATTCTATTATTATTTACCATCGATATTCAATATATAATATTAGATATTTTTTATGTCATATTATTTTTGATATCAAAAATTAATTTTATTATTTTATTTTATTAATAATCGTCCAAATTAATTTGAAAACTGATTTTATGTTGACTTCTTTATTTTTGTTACATTTACACTTTAAAAGATAAAAATCTTTTTTTTTTGCAATTTAAATAATTGAAAACTGTCAATTAAAGAAAAGTATCGGTCATTAAAATACTTCTGCAATTAAGAACAAATATATTATATATTTTAAAGTGGTGTTTTTAAAAATAATTTAAATTTGTAGATCATAGATTTTTTGAATATTTTAGTTAGGATTTTCAATTATTACAAGAACATTATTCCAAATTTTCTTTTACAAATATTTAAAAAAATTTCTGTTATTCATATATTTAAATATTTAAATAGAAACTATAATGTTTTTTTCACAAAAACATTTTCTTGGCTTGAGAGGAATTGTTTTTCACTTTTAATATAATTTTCCAAAATCGAAACCGATCGAATGATCAAATATCTCGCTATCGCCTGCAGCTGTTTTCAAAACAGTCATCCGGAAGAGCGCCCCCTTCGAGCATATAGCCAAGATGTGGATCGGGCCCAAGCTGGTGGTCTTCATCTACGATCCCCGGGACGTGGAGCTGCTGCTCAGCAGCCATGTCTACATCGACAAGGCCTCCGAGTACAAGTTCTTCAAGCCTTGGCTGGGCGATGGACTGCTGATCAGCACAGGTGAGGGGCGTTCAAAAGCGGGGGAGGGGGTGACTTTCGGTTTTTTTGAGGGGGTGGCAAGTAGGGGAGGGTCAGTTTGAGGACCACTTGCCACTAATGCAATTTGCGGAATCATAAATTAATTAAGCGATCCGCTAGCCTGACAGTTGGCACAACAATGCCGCTATAAATAAAATCAACGTCGCAGAAAAGTCACGGAAAAAAATTAAGTACACTTTTTTATAGTCAAAAAGGGATAATATAATTTTTGAAAATGAATTTAAAATATTTTTAAAAAATTTTAATGATCAAAATATGGGTTATTAAAGAATTGGTTCAAAATGTTTACTATTTTCAGTTACAAAAAAAATATTGTATTGATAGAAAATATTTAAAATATTATTTTATTTTTATAAATATTGTGTTACTTTGAAAAATTAATAAATAATATAGTGATCATAAAGAAAACTATTTTTTAGGATGGCCGAAGGACTTCAGTTTCCAGTGCCATTTTCTTTAAATTAATTTTAGTATTGTATACTAGCTTTAATATGACAAAATAAAAAAAAATAAATATTTTTTAGGATTTAATAATTGTTGGATATATAAATGTAAATGTAATTTTTAGGCTTTGGTTCGACATACTATACTATCGCCCTATTGTTGCAGGTCAAAAATGGCGTTCGCACCGCAAACTGATCGCACCCACATTCCATCTGAACGTCTTGAAGAGCTTCATCGAGCTCTTCAACGAGAACTCGCGGAATGTGGTGAGGAAACTGCGTGCGGAAAATGGTCGCACGTTTGATTGCCATGATTACATGAGCGAGGCAACCGTGGAGATTCTATTGGGTAAGTGAACAGATATACGGATAGTAGTAGTAGGGATAGTATCCGTCATTCGTCATTGTGATTACACAAAAGTACAGTCAACCCACACGCACTCGCAGTGGCGGTAGCGAAATTCATCATATAGCATATACCCATACCATAATTTCAGTTATACGCGTATGCGTGTGCCCAAGTCACCTAATCTCCGCTAAAACATACTATACATTATATTGTATGCCACAACACACAATTGAGTGCAGACCCATTTCCCTATATACTGACAAATCAAAAATTTCTGCTTGCTGCCCATTTGCTTTTGTTGTGCCCCCAACAATGGGCGCAAATATGATGTTCTGCATATATACATATATTTATATATATATATATCAGATCCCGGCCCCCGATCTAACCGAATTATGCCACCGCCAGCTGCCAAACTGCTGAAAACTGGTTGGCTTTGTCCTCTAAACGATCATGTGGCTTAGTTATGAAAATGCCCTAATGAAAGGTATTTCCCCAGCAAGAACTAACTATCGTAACTCAGAATTGGCTGCGTTAATTAGGCTGAACTAAGTTGAATATCAAAGCATATCTTATGTTAAGTGATTTGGGTGCACATTCTCGAGGAACTCTTGAATATTTATGCCACTTGCCTATTGTAACTCAGCTGCTATGCAGGTTTTGCTATTTATTCAAACTCAGATCGGTTATAAGGGGTTTAATATAGTAAATTATTAATATAGGAACTCAGTCCTCAATAATCATATTAAAGTAGCTAATATTAATATATATTTGCGATCCAAACAAATGGTTTTACAAGAAATCAAAAAACTAAACTATGAAATATGAAGGAATCTAGACCAAGATAACTCAAGAACCTCCATTTCGATTTTGGTAAAATCTTCGCCCATTTGTAGATCCAGGTGAAGGTTGTCCCTATACTTTAGGACCACCCAAGTGGGTAGTTAATTCATGCCAAATGCCACCCAGACGACAATTCGCTTAAAGCCAAACACGTTTCTCATTTTTTGGGGCCGGGAAAAAGTGAAACCGCCCGAAGAGCTAGACAAATTGGAAGGCGGCCAATGTTAATGACATTGTAGCCGATTTCGGATTGATTTCTAGGCCATTGCATAATCCGAATCCGAGCCCTCAATTGAAATGCAGCCAAGATACCAGGCAGAACTCAAAACGAAACCGAAACGAACCGAACCGAACTGCAACGAAATGCAACGAATCCCAGCGAAAATCTGAATCTAAGCGCTGCAATTAAAGGCACGTCGCATTGCCATTAAGCATTTAATCAGGAAAATTTGAATGCAACGGCCGACAACATCCATTGCTGAGGTTGTTTCAGACTTTCTGAGTTGTTCACGGCGATTATGGGGTCTGACGCAAACGGGCAATTAGCAATTAAGACCTGAACGACTGCTTATGAAAAACTGCAAAAACGGCAAATGTTTTCAATTCGAATCGTAAGAATGGGCAGGAAAAACCAAATGTCATTGCATAAGCCAGATTTCCTTTTTCCCTACCGCCTAGTAAACAAGTCAACTCGAAATGAGAAGAGTATATTATTAATGACCTATCTTAACATTTCATCGTAGAAAATCTTTAAATAATTTCAATAAACTTGAAAAATAATTTTATTTTTGGCTGACGAAGCAATACGACGATTTTTTATTCAATGCATATTTTTTTATAATTTATATATATTTATATTTATTAAAAATTTATATATACATTTTTTTTTAATTGTTTTCCACCTTTTAAATTCTATATATTTTTAGTAAATATAGAATAACCTATTTGCTGATTTTTACAATAGTTATATTTATTCTAAATTTATTATTCTCTATATAAAAACTCCTTCTCTCTCTGAAGTGAAAAACCAATGCCAAAAACAAATTCCTGTCTCGCATTTTTCCCACAGCCCACAAAAACATTCTGCTCTCGAAGCGGATCTGCGGATCCGTAAGCTCGTTTATGCTGTCATCTATAGATCTATTTATGCATTGTATCTACAATTAGACAGCCGGGATTTGCAGGGGGTATGCGGGGTGTGGGGGGGTGTGAGGGGGTAGGGAGTCCGTTGTTGTCTGTTTGTTAAGTTCAATTGGCGCTTGGGTCAGGCGAGTGCATTCCACTTCCCCCCATTTGTGCTGGGGGTCCATCTCCCCGATCTCTATCTCTACTATCTGTATCTGTATCTCTAAATGTATCTGTATCTGTATCTCGATCTCCAAACATCCGAGTCTGCACTGGGCGGAGAATTTGCAATTACATTTTGTCATTTAACCCAAGACACGTGATTTTAGTTTATTGAAATTAAAAAAATGATTAATTTAAGTTGCTTAATTTTAAGACAAGTTTAATTTTAATGTTACATGTTTTGATTTATTATTTTGTAAGGTAAACATTAATAATCCTAATAATAAATCAACAATAAATAAACCAATAAATCCTAATAAGTAGGTATATAAAATCATTTATTTATTATTTTATTTTATTTTATTTTTTTTTTTAATCTATAAACTTTTTTTGTTTTGGTTGAGATAAATCTTAATATTCCAAATAAATCTTTAAAATCTTGTTCGTCATTATGAGTAAAATAGTTTATATGCGACAAAAATTTCGAACAATCCATACCATAAACATTGGATTATATGCAAAACAATATTCAAATAATCTTAATATTTTTTAAAAATCATAATATGTTTAATCTTGAATTTAATCATTTTTTGTTTGCCAAAAATCCAAATCTAAAGGTATATATTTTTTTTTAACATAAAATAATATAAATACTTTTGTATTTAAACTTTTTATTATACTTTTATATTTATTTGTATTTATTTTCCAGAGACGGCGATGGGCGTGTCGAAGAAAACGCAGGACAAATCGGGTTTCGAGTACGCGATGGCCGTGATGCGGATGTGCGACATCCTCCACGCCCGCCACCGCAGCATCTTTCTGCGCAACGAGTTCGTGTTCACCCTGACGCGCTACTACAAGGAGCAGGGTCGCCTGCTGAACATCATCCACGGACTGACCACCAAGGTGATCAGGAGCAAGAAGGCGGCCTTCGAGCAGGGCACCCGGGGATCCCTGGCCCAGTGCGAACTGAAGGCGGCGGCCATGGAAAGGGAGCGGAACGAACTGAGGGATGGGAAGGCAACGGAGGATGAGGTGGCCAATCCAGCGGAGGACAAGACGACCACGGGCCTCTCCTACGGCCAGTCGGCTGGACTCAAGGACGATCTGGATGTGGAGGACAACGATATTGGCGAGAAGAAGCGGCTGGCCTTCCTCGATCTGATGCTGGAAAGTGCCCAGAATGGGGCACTCATCACCGACACGGAGATCAAGGAGCAGGTGGACACCATTATGTTCGAGGGACACGACACCACGGCAGCGGGATCCTCGTTCTTCCTCTCGCTAATGGGCATCCACCAGGAGATCCAGGACCGCGTGCTCGCCGAACTAGACTCCATTTTTGGCGACTCACAGCGACCGGCCACGTTTCAGGTGGGTAATCTATGCCTATAAAAGTGGGCATTTTTTAAACGGCAAGTTGAAACGCCAGCGAAAACGGTTCGAGTTAAAAATCTAGGATTTAAACCGAAATTCGCAAATAATATGCTATTGAAACCTATGTGCTAATATGGTAGGATTTATTTGAATTTTTATATATTTTATAATCATAACTAAATAAAATACCAAGATTTGTCAAGCATGTTAATTTAATATGCCCAAAATCAAGTCATTCTAAAAAGTAATTTTTTTTTATACGGTCATCTTTTACTATAAAAGTAGGCATATTAAAAAAGGGAAGTTGAAACGCCAGCCAAAACGGTTTGAATTTAAAATCTAAAAAAAATAAACCGAAATTCGCAAATAATATGTTAATAATATTGTAGGTGTTTACAAACATTTTATTTTTTATATTAATATTACAGGACACCCTGGAGATGAAGTATCTGGAGCGGTGTCTGATGGAGACGCTGCGCATGTACCCACCCGTCCCGCTGATCGCCCGCGAGCTGCAGGAGGACCTCAAGCTGAACTCGGGCAACTACGTGATCCCCAGGGGCGCCACGGTGACAGTGGCCACCGTCCTGCTCCACCGCAACCCCAAGGTCTACGCCAATCCGAACGTCTTCGATCCGGACAACTTTCTGCCGGAGCGGCAGGCCAACCGGCACTACTATGCCTTCGTTCCCTTCTCCGCGGGACCGCGCAGCTGTGTGGGTGAGTGTGAGAGATCTATCACTGAACAAAAAAATTAAGGCAAATTTTATGCACCAAAGAAAGTTTATAAACTTAAATAAAAAAAATTATTTTATATAAATATTTCAATTAAAATAAATAAAAATCATAAAAAACTGATAATGCTGATCCTTAAATTCAAATGAATTTAAATAATTCAAAGAAATATTTTAAGCAATTAAACATTTTTTAATTTATATATTTTTGTAACATATCGAGATGAAAAATATAAATTTTTTGTCCATTTTTATTTATTATTTTTATACCCTTGTAGAGGGTATTATAATTTCAGTCAGATGTTTGCAACGCAGTGAAGGAGACGTTTCCGACCAAACAAAGTATATATATTCTTGATCAGCACCAATAGCCGAGTCTATCTAGCCATGTCCGTCTGTCCGTCTGTCCGTCTGTCCGTCTGTCCGTCTGTCCGTCTGTCCGTCTGTCCGTCTGTCCGTTTCTATGCGAACTAGTCTCTCAGTTTTAAAGCTATCGCGATGAAACTTTCCCGAAAGTCTTCTTTCTATTGCAGGTAGTACATATGTCGGAGCGAGCCGGATCGGACCACTATATCTTAAGGCTCCCATAGGAATATTCAAACATATACAAGAAAATTCTTGTTAATTTGTAGGAAGTAGGCGTTTTAATTCTTGACTACTTAAAAACAAAATTCAAAAATAGGAACACTGAATCTGGAATCCCTGGAACTGCACCGAGTGAGTATTACTTTATCTGCAAGGGTATATAAGCTTCGGCTGGCCGAAGGTAGCTTCCTTTCTTGTTTTTTTTATATTTTACCGATATAAAGAATTTTGAATTTAAATACTTTTATATAGATTAAAAAGTTTAAATTCCAAAAAAAAATTAATAGTTAAATATTTTTAATTGCACTATTAGGACGCAAGTACGCGATGCTCAAGCTGAAGATCCTTCTGTCGACCATTTTGCGGAACTACCGTGTATACTCGGACCTGACCGAATCGGACTTCAAGCTGCAGGCGGACATCATCCTGAAGCGGGAGGAGGGCTTTCGCGTGCGCCTGCAGCCGCGGAGCAGGTGAACCCAGGAGGACCAGGACGGATGGACGGTCACCGGATGGCGGATGGCGGACAGCACACCGTACACAATAAGCTACACAGAACGGACACTTATCCATACATATATCTCTACTTGTTGGCAAGTGATAGTCACCGGTTTATACAGTAATATTGATAATATTAAATAATAAACGTGCTCCACACACATTCGATTTATTGAATAGTATAATAATATTATTTTTTTGTCGCATTTAACACGCAAAGCTATCGTCACACACAACAACTATCGTCATCTTCTTTAAACTGTGTTTACTTTTTTTTTTTGGTTATTTAATAATTATAATACCTTTTTTGTGTAATGATTTTGACAATAAATCTTTTGTGTAATTATACAAAGCGATGGTCTGAATCGAGAGTGGGTTGAATAAAATAGATTTAAATTCATTTGGAAGATGGTTTCTTTAGGATCTTTAGTAATTTATTGTTTAATTCAAATAGGCGCGCCCTTTGGTAGCATTGCTCAACACTGTTTTTAGTCGGCGGTATTTTTGCGGTATTTCGGCTATCGCTGTTGGACCATCTCTAATCGATAACAGGTGGCTCCTCCACTCAGTAGGACCGTATTTGCAAAAACACAACTACGTGGCTGCGATTAAAAACTTGAAAGCGAAAGTTGAAAGTTTAAGAGGCTTTGGAGGATCCGCCACGGGAGGAACCTTTTCGCCAGGATGTCGCACGCCATCGACGAACTGCAGGCGATCATCGCCGAGCTGAAAACGGAGCTAGAGGAGCCAAAGGCCACCGGGAGCAGCAGTGGAAATGGAAACATAAATAAAAACCAAGTCCGCGATCGCATTGAACGCATGTCCGCCGAGGTGGTGGATTCCAATCCCTACAGCCGCCTGATGGCCCTGCAGCGGATGAACATCGTCAAGGATTACGAGCGGATCCGCGACAAGGCGGTGGCCATTGTGGGCGTGGGCGGCGTGGGAAGCGTCACCGCCGACATGCTGACACGGTAAATACACGGCGAGAAAAGTCTGCTTAATGCCTAGCTAAAAAATTAATACTTATGAAAGCTAAGAGCTAATATATATGGCATTTCAAGATCCTAAAATCACCTTAATCACATTTAGAGTAAAATACAAACAGTTTAAGACCTTTTATTATTATTAAATACACGGCGAGAAAAGTCTGCTTAATAGCTAGCTAAAAAATGCATTACAGAGATTAAAGTTAAGATATAATACAAGAGTACCATCACTTAGGGATTTAGTTATCTGAAAATTAATTTTTTGGAATTTTTCAATAATTTTACAACAGATATTGATTTGATTTTTTGTTAACTAATATTAATATAATATAATATATGGCTTTTCACGATCTTACAATCACTTTGAACAATATAGAGTAAAGTACAAACACTTTAAGACCTTTTTTATAAGATGGTACCTAGATACATATGTAGGAATTCCGCAATTTAATAGTTTCTTTATATCATTTTCAAGTTTAAACTCATGATATGATATAGAGTACCCTCACATAAGACCCCAGATATCTGATTTATTCGTGAAATTTTAGACTAGATATTGAATTAATTTTCTTAATTAATACCTAGATTAAAATGCATACTTGTGCATATAAAAACTACGCTACGATATGATATTTTATGATCTTAAAATACAAACAGTTTTATACAGTTTTAAACCTTTTTTATAGGTACACATATATATTTATTCCTCATTTTAATTTTCTGTTTATATCAGTTTAAAGTTTTAACTCCAGGATATGATATCTGAAAATACATTTTTGGATTTTTTTTAATAATTTTAGACTAGACGTTTTTAAAACTGGGATAAAACCCTAAATATAAAATGTATAATATCAACAAAGATTTAAATCTTTACTCATGTTTCCCCTTATCTTCCCCGCAGCTGCGGCATTGGCAAACTGATCCTCTTCGACTACGACAAGGTGGAGCTGGCGAACATGAACCGTCTGTTCTTTACGCCCGACCAGGCGGGCCTCTCCAAGGTGGCCGCCGCCGCCGCCACGCTGAGCTTCATCAATCCGGACGTGGAGATCGAGACGCACAACTACAACATCACGACGGTGGACAACTTCGATGGCTTCCTGGAGACGATCTCGCGCGGCGGTCGCATTGCCGGCCAGCCGGTGGATTTGGTGCTCAGCTGTGTGGACAATTTCGAGGCGCGAATGACCATAAATACGGCCTGCAATGAGCTGAATCTCAATTGGTTCGAGTCGGGCGTTTCGGAGAATGCCGTCTCCGGGCATATTCAGTTTATTCGTCCTGGGGACACCGCCTGTTTCGCCTGCGCTCCTCCTTTGGTGGTGGCCGAGAACATTGACGAAAAGACGCTGAAAAGGGAAGGCGTTTGCGCCGCCTCGCTGCCCACAACCATGGGCATAACGGCTGGATTCCTGGTGCAAAATGCCCTCAAGTATCTGCTGAATTTCGGCGAGGTATCCGACTATCTGGGCTACAATGCGCTGAGCGACTTCTTTCCCAAGATGACGCTCAAGCCGAATCCGCAGTGCGACGATCGGCACTGTTTGGCCAGGCAAAAGGAGTTCCAGGCGAGGCCGAAACCGAAAGTAGTAGAGGAGGTGAAGGCAGCCAGCGAGGAGCCGCTGCACGCCACTAACGAATGGGGCATTGAATTGGTGGCCGAGGATGAGCCGGTGGCCAGTAATTCAACGGCAGATGAAGCCTCTAAAGTTGGCGAAGGTCTGAGACTGGCCTACGAGGCACCTGAAAAGGATAATGAAAATCTAGGAGCACCTGCAGCCGAAGCAGCGGAAGACGGCGCCAGTTTGGAGGACCTAATGGCGCAGATGAAGTCCATGTGAATGATCGCCTCAATTCCATACTCTCTAATTTATAGACACTTTTTAATGTAAAGCATTTCTTTTTTTTGTACTGTATAAACTGCGTTTTGTTTGTGTGACAGTTGGCCCAGCCATTTGTGAGGTCTTTGAACATAAAATGCCAGCTGACAAGGTGGAAAACAATAAATAAATGTTATTTTTTTAGATAAATTTTTGTAAGAAAAACGTGGTTTAAATTTTGATTTAATTAAAATTATATACCACCACCGATTGATCGATTTGTAGATTGTTGAAATCATATTTATAATTTCATTTCTGCTGTGTAAGTTATTTAAATTACGCTCCCACTTCGTGGCTTGTCTGGTATTTTTAGTATTTTCCCCTTAGCGATCTGGCAGCACCGGCCCACTGCCGTTTATCGATAAAGACAACCGATAAGAGTTTTTCCCCTCTGCCACACGCACTTTTCACAATCACGATCGTTAATATAATATCTAAAATTTAATTTCTGCTGTATTATTTATTTAAATTACGCGCCCACTTCGTATCGCTTGTCTGGTATTTTTCGGTATTCTTTTCCCTGAGCGATCTGGCAGCACCGATAAGCCCAACCGATAGGCGATTACATTTTGTTGTCGCGTTGTCAAAAGAAAAAAGCGAAGGAAAATCTCCTGGAAAAAGAGTTTTTCCTGCCTGCCACACGCACTTTTCACAATCACCGAGGGCCGGAAAAGCGCAGCCAGAGTACACGCGACATGGGCAAGAAGGAGGAAAAGTCACAGCCGGGCGAGGAGGTGAGCAAATCGAAATGCCGGCTTGGCATTCTGTGGGATTTGTGATTCGTAGACACGTCACTGCATGTTTGGTTGGGATTTCTAAGTGATTTTAACTGAATTTAATATTTAATTAACAGCTCGTCAAGGTCAACAAGTGGGATGGCTCGGCGGTGAAACACGCCCTGGATGATGCGGTGAAGACCTGCCTTTTGGGCGACCGGCCGCAGCTGAAGGAGCAATTCGGTCTGGTCAACACCCGTTTGGCCCTCTGCGCCCTCGCCGTTCTGGTGGCCATCATGGCCCACGCCTGGGACTTCACCCACCCCTTCCCGGAATCCCGGCCAGTGCTTCTGTTCAGTGTCCTCGCCTACTTTGCCCTGCTGGGCGTGCTCACCCTGCACTCGAGTTTCCGCGAGAAGGGCACCTTTGCGGTGGCCCTGCAGAAGGACAAGGAGCGCGAGCGCCTGTGGGAGGCCAGTTCGGATATGAGGAAGTACGACGACAAGTATCTGCTGACCCTCAGCGTGCGCGACTCCTCGGCGAAGAATGGAAAGCGGCGCGAGCAGAGCAGCAGCAAGTCCTGCGCCGCCTTCATCGATCAGAATGGCATCGTGCTGGACAACCTGGTGGCCAACGAGGTCAATCGGCTGTTCAACGCTTTGGCCGCCGACAAGAAGGACAAGTAGCTGGCCAGCTGAAGGTCCCACAACTGGAATCTAAACCTCCTTTTTTTTTCTTCTATATAAATAAACCATAAACCTTACTTAAATGTCCCATTAAACTTTGCTTTTGTGATTATAAGCGATTGCAACTAGGTTCTTGAAGCCTGTGTTCAGATTTGTACGAGTCTAAAATATTTATAAGTTTCCCAGGAGAAGTTCAGTTGGTGGCCAACGAGGTCAACTTGTCCAAGAAGGACAAGTAGCTGGCCAGCTGAAGGCCTAAAACAGAAATCTAAATCTCCTTTTTTTTCTCTTCTATATAAATAAACCATAAACCTTACTTAAAGTCCCATTAAACTTGGCTTTTATAAATTATAAATGATTGTAACTAACCTTAGTTCGGATGTGTATAAGTTAGAGCCCTGCATGAATGGATTCATTGAATTATTTTAAATTTATTGTTTTATATAAGAATGAATTAATTCGAATTTTGAGTTTAATAGAATTGAATGAATTTGAATTTTAAGTTTAATAGACTTGAATGAAATAATTCCAACGACAACTTCTTTTGAAGAGGAAAGGCCCATAATTTTGTGATTAACTCTAAATTTAAATTTTTTTACTAAGCACTTAACATTGATTTGTTAAATATTTTTTCACTTTTTGTTCTCAAAAGAAAGCACAAAAAAAATCTGGCAAATTCGAAAAATTCATAAAAATTAAATTAATTTTATTTACTAAACAGTTAAGTTCTCAAAAGAAAGCATAAAAAAATATGGCAAATTCATAAAAATTAATTAGAAAAACATTCAATTTATTTCACATAAAATTTAAATTAAACAAATCACAAATTTCATGGCAAACTATGATAAAACATATTATTTGTATTTTGTTAAATTAAAACTAGTATACAACACTACATTTAATGGAAGAAATGGCACTGGAAACTGGAGTCCTTCGGCCGATGATAAAACAAAAATTCAATGATTCACTTAGGGCTCAAGTATAAGTCTAAAATATTTTTTTAAGCTACCCTAGGTCTCTCAAAAATTGTATGAAAATATTAACAAGACGGCCAGGAGTCAGCTCTCCACTAGAAAAATAAGAAAAGCAGAGGATGAGGCAGTAGTAGTTTCGAGGAGCGCAGGAGATTGGGTCAGCATGCGGGAGATAGTCACCCTGCAGATCGGCGGAGCGGGCAATGCCATTGGCGATTCGGTGGGTATGATAATATAACTATAACTAATATATAATTAATTTATTCCTTAGTTCTGGCACGTCATCTCGCACGAACATGGCGTGGATTATGCCTCGGGAAGATTCGGGGGCACCAGCCCTTTGCAACTGGAGCGGATTAATGTATTCTTCAATGCGACGGCCAGCAAAAGGTTCTATGCCCGCTCCATACTCATCGATACGGAGGCGAGCACAATACAGCGTTTGAATGCCAGCAGTCAGCTTTACAGGCCGGAGAATTTTGTGGCGGGAACGGAGAGTGCTGGGAATAATTTTGCCCGCGGCTATCACACCGATGGAGCAGCTATCCTGGAGCAAGTGCTGGATAGCACGCGACGGGAGGTGGAATCGGTGGACTCGCTGCAGGGCTTTCAGCTCCTCCACTCGATTGGCGGCGGCACGGGCTCCGGTTTGACTTCGCTGATTATGGAGGCTCTGGTGGAGCAGTATCCGGATAATTTGCTATGCAATTATGTGACCATTCCATCGCCCAATATGTCCCAAGTGGTAGTGGAACCCTATAATGCCTTGTTGAGCACCCCTGCCCTGGTGAACAACTCGCATTTGACGTTCTGCTTGGACAACGAGGCCTTGTTTCAGATCTGCAATAGGAATCTGAAGATTAAGATGTCCGGCTATGAGCATATTAATCATATTGTGGCCTTGACCATGTCTGGGATTACCACCTGCTTGAGATTCCCAGGTCAACTAAATGCCGGGCTGCGCAAGATCTATGTGAATATGGTTCCCTTTCCGAGGTTGCATTTCCTCATTCCCGGCTTTGCACCGCTGGTCACCTGCAAGCAGCAGCAGTTCAGCAAGGGCACCGTTTCGGAGCTCGTCCAGCAGATCTTCTCGAGCAATAATCTCCTGTGTGCCATTGATTTAAGGCAGGGTAAATTACTCACAGCTGCTGGAATTTTCCGTGGCAGAATGTCGCCGCGGGAGGTGGATCAACTGATGACTGGGGTGAGGAACAAGAATATCAATAATTTCGTCGATTGGATACCGAATAATATCAAGACTGCCATTTGTGATATTCCACCGAGGGGTTTGAAAATGTCGGCCACTTTTATAGGCAACACGACGGCAATTCAGTCGCTTTTTCAGCGTCTGCTCGACGGATCCATGGCCATGTTGCGGCGCAAGGCCCATTTGCATTGGTACACCGGCGAGGGAATGGAGGAGCAGGAGTTCCAGGATGCCCAGCAGGAGCTGCAGGCCATCATCGATGATTATCGCAGCAGTGCCGAGGGTGAGGATTCAGGAGGAGCTGGCCGAAATGGAACCGCCGAGGATGACAGCGATGAGGATGCCACCGCCGCCGGTCCCAAGTGTCCTTACTGCACCGATTAAACTCAGTAATTAACCCTCCTCATCACACGAAAAAAGATTCAAGGACTCCGGTAAAAATTCCAAAGTGTCCTCCTTTGTCGTTGCGCGTCTGGGATTCGGATTCATACATACTTCTGCCATTGATATTTCGATTTCGATTAGGAAAATATATATATTTTAGATAGTAACCTTTAGTTTTGTACTATTTTCGGTTTTTATATTTCGATTTCTTGGGTAAAACTGGTAAAATGGTTTTTCTTTATTGTTTTTTATGGGTTTAAATAATATTTGAAAAATTTATATTTCGAGTAGGAAAATACATATATTATACAGATTTCATTATTGAACTATTTTCAACCACTTGATTTAAATGGGTTTTACTTCATAGGTATTTTTAAAAATTGATATTTCGATTTCGATTAGGAAAATATATATATTTTAGATAGTAGCCTTCAGTTTTGTACTATTTTCGGTTTTTATATTTCGATTTATTTGGTAATCTGTAGATTAAGATTAAAAAAAAGGTAAATGACTGGGTTTAAATAATATTTTAAAAATGTATATTTCGATTGCGAGTAGGAAAATATATATATTATACAGATTTAATTATTGAACTATTTTCAACCACTTGATTTAAATGGGTTTTACTTCAGTTATTTATGGATTTGATTGATATTTTTTAAAATTGATATTTCAATTTGGAGTAGGAAAATATGTATATTTTAGATAGTAACTTTCAGTTTTGTACTATTGTATACAGGGATTTCATTTTTGAACTATTTTCAACCACTTGATTTAAAAAGGTTTTACTATGGATTATTTATGGATTTGATTGATATTTTTTAAATTTGATATTTCGATTTTAGAAAGTAACTTTTAATTTTGTACAATTGTATACAGATTTTATTTTTGAATTATTTTCAACCACAGGATGGCAGAAAAAAAAACATAATTAACTGGGAAATGTTTATAAAATGTTTTAAGATTAATTCAGTAAATGTAAATTTTCATAGTTCCATAAATCAAATCTTCTAATATAACATCGAAAAAATTCTCATTTTCTTCAAAAAAAGTGCCTATTTTCTACTCGATTCCCATTTTCCGGGCTACTTCACAAATTTTCTATTTTCGCAGTGGCCAAGCATTTTCCGTAGGTCAAAAGCCGGATCTGCTAAACTTGAAAGGCTGCCAAGAGGAGTTTTTGGCGAGTTGGCAGCAGAGAAAATCAGGAACGCGGCGATCGCCCGGCCAAAAAAATAGAAAATGAAAACTTGAGGAGATCCGGAGACGACGGCATTATTAATAGACGGATGCTAAAGGTTTTTGCACTTGGTTTATTTCTGCTCCGCATTCCTGAGATGCCGCCGTGGTGACAAAAATATATGCAACGCACACGAAATGCAAGCATAACGCGTATCCACTGCATAGCTGAGCACACGTAAAAAATAATTTTAATTTATTATTTATTGTGGAGTTTCTCACACAAAAACTCAAGATATTTTGATATTTTTCAAGTTTTTCTAATTTATTTTTAAAAACAATTAATAAAGCCAAAATATTTATATATTTTCTGGACGGTTTATTTGGCTTTCCCTTCACATTTTCTTATGTTCTGAAAATAATTCAAATATTTTAATAATAATTAAAAAATGTAACATATTTTAAAACATAATTTTTGAACTTTTTCGAGTGCACGAAAAATGTGCATCGCCGTTGCAAGTGGAGCACACGCACACTCGCACCGGCGGACACACCTACACACGCAAGGGAAAGCGGTGGAAAAACTTGGAGGGGGGGGAAGGAAAAGCCAGGGAACCGCAGGCATAAATATAAATATAAAATTGAGAATTCAATCGAGAGGCGAGATGCCAACTATTTGTGGGCCGTGCCACGCCCACACGCCCCGAAAGCAGGCGCCACTCGAAATATGTGAGAGAAAAAAAGTTTTTTTAGATAATGAAGCCATTTAAGTTTCGTTTTTTGGTTTTTAAATGCCAATGCCAAAAAAAAATAATAAAAATTAAATACTTTTATGAATTATATGCCAAAAATGTAAAAATTATTAATTAATTATTATCAAATCATACATTTTTAAATTTGTTTTTTTTAATTTTCCGCTTGAATTCGAATTCAAATTTTCTCCAGTGCTGTTAACTGCTTTTTGGTATTTTCCAGTATAATTTTCTCCAGTGCTGTTAACTGCTTTTTGGTATTTTCCGGTATATCTATCGATAACTATCGCTGTTGTTTTAACGCTCTTTTGGTATTTTAAATTTTAAGACAAATGCTCCCAAAATGTTAACTTAACGTCATATCTTAACACATAGCACATATGAAAATCTTCTTTTTTTAACTTTCGAATTGCTGTTAGATTCGTGCTGAAGTTCCACCTCTGTGCACGGTCACTATCGATAACATAACACAAAGGTTGTAATCGAAATCAGTATTTATATACTGACACTTACGTCGTTCTTGGTGATGGACAAAACATCGATTGTGGCAAAAAAAACATCGATGATTGTAGACAATTTTGAACATTGTTTTCATCGTCTCCATTTTCTCCACTCTAATTTCAAACCCCCAACGAACGGTTCGTGCGCGCTGCTCCGCTGCGAGTTTCTTGTACCTCCGTACTCCGCAAAAACAACAACAAGACCTGGCCAACAAAACGAAACGAAATCTGCGGGCCTTTCGCATCCAACCTTTTTGAATCGAATCCGAATCGACGAACGGGGCAGAAGAGGGAGAGGAAGAGGCAGAAGACGAAGGAGCAGGAGAGGAGTTCTGCGGAGAGAACGGTACTTGCAAAATACCGAAAATAACAAAAACAACAAACGGCAGCAACAGCATCATACACATACATACACACGCGGGAATTTTTTTTCGGGCCTCTCTTTGCGCGCGCGTGTGTGTGTGTGTTGCAGTTGCATAGTTTTTGCTTCGTTTTTTTTGTTTTGCACTGGAATTTTGTCTCCATCTCCACTCTCTCTCTATCTCCCTCTCGCGCGCAACGCTTTCCGCAGAATTATTTTTAAGCGTGTGTGCTTACAACTAAACTACAATTTTTTTTGGTTCTGTGCAGTTGAGATTTGAATTTTTGATCCCCCCCCTCCCCGTCCCAAAGAAATACGGAGTGAGAAAGAGCAATCAAACGAAGGATTAAACAAAAATAAAGCCAAAATCGAATCGAAGGAAGATTCGATCTTCACACACCACAACACACACCACACCACACACACACACACAAAATGTTCACCGAAAAGGGAATTTTTCCCATTGGCGACGGACTTTTGGACGTGGACGCCGATCGGCTGAAGGGACTCCTCGTGTCGTGTCACGACATCAACGAGATCTACGAGGTGGAACAGACGCCGTTTGCCAGGTGAGTTGAGTCTTGGTTTCTGTTTCTGGATTTTGGGCTTAGTTTGGCACTCTTTTCCCTTGCCAAAAACCGAAAAGCAAACAAAAATCGACAAAAAAAAATCACCAAAAACAAGTTTCTCGCATCTCCACAGGGAGAAAAAATCAACCGATATCAAGTGTGAACGATATTTTCCCTTGGAGTTGAGTTATGGATAGAACTTTGGATACAATCCTAGGGACTTGGTTATGAAACCATTTAAAATGGGAAATTAAATGTTAATGGGAATAGGTTAAATCCATGATATATTTACTGAATTTCCTGTCAAGAAAGGGCTTCTAAATTTCTCTTTAACCTGCACATTAAAATAGAAATTCTGGTTTACCTGTTCGGAAATCATGGGTAAAATTAACAAATCGTATCATATTCTGTTTTCTTTCTGTGCAAAAGCAGCTGCCGAAAAAAATAAAAGCGAAATCCCCAAAAACACCGAAACAAAGCTAAAAATGTTAAAGAAAGTCAGTTTATTTTTCTGAAAAACTTCTGCGTCTCAAAACTTGTTTTATTTACTTTTTTCTTCTTTCTTGCGGCTCGCCAGTGTGTGTGTGTGTGTGTGAGCTTCTACTCAACACACACACAGTGACATGTGGACGGGAGACAAAAAGAGAGTTTTGTGTGGATAACGCCACAGTGGGTTGGTTTTCGAAAATAATCTGGGGATTTTTTCGAAAACCTCTAGTATTTATTTGAATTTATTTTTGAGAGAATGTTCTATAAATTTAATAAGTATTTTTTTTAATTTACCGAAATTATTTCATACTATATATTGATCTATTATGATCTTCCCTATGGACTGTGTATGTATCGAGAGATTTTAGTTTATTTACTTACCTGATTTTGGTCCCATTATGCGGGATTTTGTTTGTGCAACCACTGTGCATCTCGTTCTTTGCCTCTTCCGCATCTTCCTCCTCGTCTTCCTCATTCTGCTCTTCTTCTCCCTTTTATCACACTCTTCCGAGGAGCAGCTGTTACCGTTCGCTGGCGAACTGACCCTCGTTCTCCGTCTCTTTCTCGGGTCCCTCTGGCCCTCTCTCTCTCTCGAATGCCCTTTGACTACCACAAGTACTACCTTTATTTTCTGCTAGATTTGCATTTTTACCCCTTTTCATTATAATTTGTTCACATTTTGCTTTGTTTTTGCCTCATTAGTTTTGCATTTCATCGTTTCTTCAAAGTTCTTCAGACTTTGCCACCCACAACGCCCCTTACCTCACGAAGGTCGTTTGCTTTCGAGCCCCACTGTTTCGTACTCCCAGGGACCCCATCTATCATCATATTCCACCATTCGTTGATAAGCCTTGTGTTATCAGGGGGAAAATAAAAAAACCAAACGAAAATTAATAATAAAACTTAAATCCCAATCGACGTTTTCGAGTTTCGTAAGCAGTCGCATGAAATTCAATTTTTCTGTCATCGATTGTTGTCTCAAATCGTAATTCTTATCAGGAAACCGTTTCCCTGAAGTGTTGGTTGTAAAACCGAATGGAAATTATATATTTAATTGGGAAATACTTGGGAAAAGTAGTTTACTTCAACATTTTACACTTAAGAATATGAAAATAAATAAATAAAATATTATTATCATATCAAATGTTGTATACAAATATTAAATACATCAGTTTTTCAAATGAGCTGCTTGCTAAAATTTAATGGATTCACATTTTCGTTTATAATAAATTCAACTTTCTCATAAATGCCATGCTATTTGTTGTTGATCACTTAAAAGTTTTCAAATTTCTCTATTTTATAACATATTTTTTTCACTTAAGTTGTTAATGTTATAAATGTTCTTCATAACTGTTATATATTCTTTTAAATTATTCTTTTATAATGCCAGGTATTCCGTTTTCAAAGTCTTAAGTTCTTTGGCCAATTTTTTTTTTGCTGTTTTCGATATATTTTAATGTTACTCCCCTGGAATTCCGATGCCAAAATTGCCTTATTTAGCAGTTAAGGTTCGTTCTGCCGTCGACGGGTTATTTTCCTCGGCAATGCTCTTTTTTTTTTGTTAGCCATTTGGCTTCGGTTTCTCATGCTTCTCTGGTTCCGCATTCGCTCAATACCAACTTGTTGCTGCGTTTGCTTTCGTTTCACGTTTTGTCTTGACTTTGTTTTAATTTTTTTTTTTTTTTTTGGGTCGTTTGCTTTATCAACGCATAATTTTGGAACGTTTCCCCTTAAAGAAAGAAATGCGTTCTGTGGGCCAGCAAAAAGAGCTTTTTTTATCAGTCGCGAGTAGATAAGAAAAACCAGGTGAGGGAAGTGAGTTGATGGGGAAAGTTCTTTATTTTGTATAATTATTTATTTTGCAGTGCGATAAATAACTTTTTTTTTGCCACAAAAATAATTTTTCGCTGGAAGGGATTTAGTAAAAAATATTATAAATTATTATAATATATTATAATACCTAGAATTAAACAAAAAAATATATTAAAAAAAAATTGTATTAGAAAATTTTGTTAATAAAGTTAAAACTTACCACTTATTAGCCATCTAACCTCAAAACCACATATAAATATTTAAATGGGGGGCTACACTGTGTCACAATAAATTTCGCCCCAAAAAAAGTTTAACCCTAATGACGACCGGGGAAATAAAAAATAAAAATAAAAAACCTGCCAAATTGGAAACATTTGACAATTGCAAGCCGCCGTCAATCAATCGCAGAGGCAGAGGCGGGGATCCAAGGGGGGTTTTCTGATTTTTTTTTTTCTGCAAGCCGGAATGCCAAAATGTTGGCCAATTGGGCGACCGACGCACATATACAATATTTCTTATAACTTTTGAGCTGTGCATAATTGGACTTGGATGGATGGATGGGTTGATATATGGTAAAAACGAAAAAAAAAAAACACCAACTATAAGTTGGTGTTGCTGGTGGCCCAATTTATATAGTAAAAGAAAAAATCGAAGAAAAAGAAATACAAATTGACAGCGAGACAAATGAAGTTGTGGACACCGGAGTTTGAGTTTGAGATTTGGTTGCTGAGTTGGTTTTTTAGTTGTCTTTGGCCGTGTTTGGTTGTTTTGGCCGTTTGGCTGTTGTGGCTGCCACAAGACTTCACAAAGCCCACTTGACTTCAGCATTGGCACATTGTCCAGTTTTTTATTTTTTTTTCGGAGCTCAGAGTTGGCCTTTCAATTGGAAATTAGGACGCATTTTGTGGGCAGTCGTGGAACGCGCTTGCATAATGGAAATTTTATACCGCTTTTTTGTGCAAAAAAAAAAAATAATGCGTTTAATACGTTTGTATTTTTGGCAGAGAGCGCGAATCAATAATAAATAACAATATAATTACAATTCAATTCTCCACAGCTCGCACACGAGAAGAGTCACACCTTTTATTTATTTGGGATTAGGTTGAGGATACACAGCAGATATTATTCACAAGTCTAAATAATTGAATACTAAATAAATATTTGATTTTTAATTTGAAGCTAAAACTATTTGGGAATATTCTATACAATTTTTCCATTGATTTACCCAAGAAATGTTGCGCAGACTTTCCCACTCAAAAATGAATTTCCCCCCTTTTTCTGGGACCTAACATAACCTCAATGCGTGTGACTGACGTCACAGGAAAATCAACCCTCAGAATCCCTCCCAAAAAAAAAAAAACAGGAATAATGGGGAGTTGGTGGAGAAGGTCGCCCACACAAAAGCAAATACACACCCGAAACAGAAACAGAAACAGCTGATAGATGACTTTTGGGTTCAGTTTCAGTTCAGTTTTCTGTTTTCTGTTTTCTGGACTCTCAAACACATTTGTGCGTGGGCGAGGTTCAGCCTTCAGTCGTAGGAAAATAATATAAAGGAAAAGCCCATTATAATAGCCACCAATCCACCCCTCTGCCGCACAAACATCATTTATTCTCGTCGTCGCTCTTTGGCAAAGTCAAAGTTTTGTGGTAATCTTAGACGAAGCTGCCCGAGGGGAAAATATCGATCATATTATAGGATAGGGTCTTGAGTTTTAGAGGGTGGGGGATGCTGCCTATCGCACATCTTCGCCTCCCTTAAATGTTTGGAGGACCCATTGACAAAGTCAACAAGATTCGAGATTTCCTTTTGTTTTTACAGGCGAAATCGATTTTGCCACCATGTGTGTGGGTAAAGAAAAAGATATAAGGGTAGTTGGGGGTCGAAAATGTGGTCTTACAAAAGGGAAGGGAAAGGATAAATGCAGTTGGGCTTTAAATATAAAAGGGTTCCGTAATAATACATCGAATTCTTTTTCTGTTTTTATATTTATAAACAAATATTTTTTATAATTTGTTTATCTGCATTTGGGTTTGTGTTAATGGCTTTATTTTTATTTGCTGAAAAATACGCATTAAAATTTAACTTTAACACCCACATTAACCCATTGGGGCCGTTGCTCCTTTTATTTTCTTTTCTTCAGTTCAGTTTAGCTTAGCTTTGTTTATTTGCAAATGAATTTTTCAAATTGCCATTTTGGCTAATTAACCGAAACCGAGTCGAGACGCCCACGCTGCCAATAATTTATTGCCTCGCATTGATACAGTTTTGATTATCTCTTTTATGGGCTGCAAATAAAGAAGAGTGCCCCGAACTGTCGATGATGAGTTCATTTTAATTGAGTTTTTCAATATGCCGATGCCGAGTGGTTTATGCTAAGTTCTTCGGGGGGAGTGTCAGTCAACAGTCAATGGTCTACGGTCGAAATGGAAATGGGAATGTTGGGGTGGCGAATTCGACGAGTAGTTTACTGGGAATGCGACCTTGGAGGGTCTATATTTAGGAATGATGGAAATTCCTGAGCTGGAAAATGTCAGCGGGACATGGAATCGCATAATTGCGATGAGAACCAAGCTTTCTTCGGGGCCAAAACAAAACGGAAACTGTCTGAAATTATTATAGTTCATTACTTACATTTTTAAAATTCACTTATAATATTTTATAGATTTTTTTATAATTTTTTTTGCATCTGTTGTTT